GATGAAGACAGATTATCCAGCTAGTATAATTATACAAATATAATCGAAAAAAGTAGTCATTTTTAATTTAATTATGTACCTAATAAATACCTATAATATTATATAGGTATAATTATTGTATAGGTACCTGGTAATAAAATAATTTTCAGAAAAACCATTACTTTATATTTTTAAATTAACATAAATGTATTAATAATAGGTATATATTGATTGTAAGTAACATTAATATGTTGATTGAAAAGGTGGTTTTCTCTGTTGAAATCCATCATCTGAATTTAGTTTCTGGCAGTTTAGGTTGTAAACAGTAATAATTTATTATTAAGTATTTGAATCATGCATTTATTGAAAAAAAGATTGGCAAGTGATTACTGCTGCTGTACTTTAGGTAAAGTGTATGTTCCTGTAATGGGTTTGTTAAATTTTAATTCAATGATATAAATACTTGTATAGGTACCAAAAACAATTCTGAGGACGGTCTGTCAGCTTTTATTACTAAATATATTTTATGATATTATTACTTTTAAAGAAATTTGTTTTACTAGGTATTAGTAATATAGTAGGTTGAAATAATTTTTTTCGAAAAACATTTCATTTGATATATGAACCTACTTTACAAGTTTCAAGTACCCATGAATAATATTTGTCATTAAAATCGTTATACTCCGTTAAATTATTAATAGGATATTTATTTAGACCTTTTTGGTTACATTATTAAATACTTAGGAGAAACCTTGTTTTAAATAATCTAAAAAAAAAAATAAAGAAAAAAACAAACATCATTACATCAATGCATTCATCGCTCTGCTAATAAATATGCAATAATATGTATAATGGGTAATATATCAATAACATAAATTGAACTGGGACTCGGAACATTTTCTAACGGCCACCAGGAACCAGGTTGAGAATCACTTCTATAAGCATTGTCATATAATGCCATTAAATAACTGAATATATTTTGTTTAATGAACCCCTTTGGTATCAAAGTTAAATTTTGGTGCCATTTCATGTCGTAATGTACGATATCGTTGTAGTATGTAAGATTTCATACTATTCTATGGTACATTTCTATCGATTCGTTTAAATTTATGACAATAGTGTATAATAATTATCACGGTATAAATATACTCGTGCAGGTTCATTGTTTTTTTTTCTGACTGAAAAAATTTACCTAACATCTGAAAAGTTATATTTGCTTAAAAGTGTTACTTATTGCATTGATTGCGGGAAACAAAATCGTTTTTATAAGTAGGTAATAATATGTGTATGTAAAACTTACTAACCAACAGTATCTACATGTGAAACAGTGATATGGTAAACAATTATATAGGCACCTATAAAATTAAAAAAAAAAAAAAAATTAAAATAAAACAATTTTAGAGCATATCGAATACGTATACAGAAACAACGGCCACACCCTTTTTAAGCATATTATAGGTAATAATTATATACATATTATATAATTGTGTATTAAAAAAGTTATGTGTTTGTGTTATATACTGTGTCCCCACTCACATTGTAGAAAACAAATTTAAAAGTATAATTTGCTCATTTACTCGAATTGTTCGTGTAAACACATTTTTATATTTTGTTTAAATTGAGTTCACTGTTTTCTTGGCTATATATCGGGACACAAAAATATGAACTGTAATATTCTTTCATGACATAAAATATAATAAATTGCCACCACTATCTACCGCTATTTTACCGATTTTCTTTTTTTTTTCTAATTACAATGTCTACCAAACGACGGTCAAACTTTAATAACTTCAAGCTGCGTTCAGAGAGAAATAAAATAGACTTACTAATATAGTTATATTATTAACAACCCGCTGTAGTATTTTATTTTATAGGCCTATATTTATTACCACGAATTTTCAAGAAATTAATTATATTATTAATAAACACAACGTAAAGTCACATCATTTTATTTTATTTTCCATTTTTTTTTTTTTTTTAACAGTGATAGTATTTTTTTCTCTCTTATTTTATGGTAGAAGATAATCAGCTGTACATACGTATATAAAGCGTAAAATATAAAATATTCAAAATTAAAAAAAAAATAATAGCATGGTTAATGTTTTTTGAATTTTTTATATATATTATATTTATATACTAATATAATATAAATAGTAATAGTATATATATAAATAGTATATATATACTAATATATATACTATATTATAATGATATCGATTTAAACCAATTTAATTATTGATAAAAAAACAGTATATAATATAGTTCATATAAGGATGTCTATAAATCATAAATATTTACACTTAATTACAAATAAATGAAAATAAATTCCACTAGTTAAGACGATTCGTATATTTCTGAATACATACAAATGAATAAATTGTTGAATATGTCAGATGAGGCTTAGAACTAAATGTGTATTTTTTAATAGTTTAATGAATGTTGAGGTTTTTTGACAATATTCACAAATTTTAATCACGAGAATATGCAACCTATTCGTTTTTCATGTATTAAAATAGCGTTGAATAAACTTGAATGAAAAAAAAAAAAGAATTTAAAATAAATGTAAATCGGTAATATTTATTCTCTATTTATGGTCTTATTTCAGTTCCGTTGATTGATAATGCATTAATACGAAATTATTATGAAAAAACGTTTTCAGTGGAAAACAACATAGAAGGCCACAGCTATTGATGATAAACCAAACGATCACTATAAAAATAAGAGAATTTTTACGTGTACGATATATTTGTATTTGATCGGTATCACGTTTGGAAAAAAGTTATTCTAGTTTTAAAAAAAACATTAAAATCAGTGATTTTAAAACAATAAAAAAAAAATAATTTCTCTTTTTGTAACGAGAAAACAACATTAATATTTCAAGGTTAAAGTTCTTCTCTTTTTAAAATTGCAAATTTGTTATATTTTGATCTAGGACTATTTGTAGACCAAGTTGTTCTCTCGCCCACGTGAAAAGGTTTTTTAAATACCATATTAATGTGTGGAGTCTTTTTGAGAATGATTTAGATATTTATTTAAAAAACAAATTATATGTATTCGTTAATTCTTACAATTATTCACCTAAAACGTGAATATTAAATACAACTAATCAATAATAAATATAAATTATTATATAAACAGTTTTAATTTAATAGGTTTAAAATAACTTTTTTTAAATTGTTTAAACATATTTTGATGATTCTATATTTCTATAGGCATTTAATTTTTATAAAATAATTGTTGATAGTAAGAGTTAATAAAGTTATAGCCTTTTATATTTAATAAAGCATTGAATTATTAAAAATGTTACCTACTTCATTGAAGTTTCTAATAGATAGTAAGTTGTTATACATAAAATAACCTTTTGATAAATCTAATTTACAATAATTTTAAATTATTATACGTTGTTTATTGCCCATGCTTCATAATAATAATAAATAGTGTCGCAAACGTCTAGGCGCTCCTGGATGTAATAATATTGCAGACTCACTAGTTTCTACGCTGGTAAAAATCAGGACACAATTTATCGACTTATATTGTAATAATCGAATTTCATCTTCTCCATGACATAGTGGTATGCGATACCGGTAGGATTCTAGTTAAATTTGACTCAACTAAAATAGTGAACGTTTTAATAATATATCTTCTGATCTATACTATACTATATAATATTTGTGGCAGAGGATATACCTATAGCGAATTTTAAGCACATAATATATAATATAAATTCCAATCGTCGAAACATTGATAAATGATACGCATTATTGATCATGTATTTGTAATGAAAACATTCCATTACAAATTTTCTGAACATGAAACTATCATGGATGCCTGTTTGAAAAAAAAGTTCAAAAAACTAATAAATCCCATTATAAATCACTTATTAAATATATTTTTTTAAATACCTGCTCAATGGTCTACACAATTGTTATACATGTTTTACACTGTTCAATAAACAACGAATTTCATAAAACTACAATGTTTGTCGTTATAACAAAAATCACCCCGTACGTCACACACGAGTGTATGACTCGTCATCCCCGCCTTCACGACAACTAACCACTTGGCACTATACATTGTACATATTTTGTTTGTACCTTTAAAATATATTATTATGTCGACATTGTATAATATTGTACCCGGTGCTGATTCACCTATTATATTATATTGCAGTGCGGAGGAGCGCACGCGCTTAACTACTACTTAAGTATGATTTTCTGGTTGAACGGTAGAGATTATTTCGATAGAGAGGGGAACAAAATATATAGTGAGAGCCAGTTGGTGGTGGTGAGTAGCGTTTGAGCTGGCAGAGAGTTCCGAGAGAGGAAGCTGCGTACAACTAAATGCAAAATGAACAATTGGCACATAACTACATCTGCACCACCTCCGACGGCGGAGACGGCAGAGACTCGTCTCGAGACGTGCATACGTACTCGTAATAATATATTTTATAAATAAAGTATTACGTCTTGAATTGACGATTAACGCGAGACGACCCGCACATACACCCGTGGCGGCGGCTGTTCCGCACGAAAACTTTATAAATTCGTAGAAAACTTTTCCGACGTCTTTGGCGAGGGACCGCGGAGCGACTGTGACGTACAGAAATTTATTATGATAATATAGGTACCTCCTATATTATTTGTATAAAATAAAACGCAACGTCGTTTCGAATGAACTTTTTATTGGATTAAAATATGATAGTAGTAATAATAATAATAATAATAATAATACACGAAAAAAACATGTTTGTTTAAACATCTAACCGTTATACTACGACAATATTATAATATATACTAATTGTTGCGTGTTATTAGAAAATGCGATTTAATATTGTAATGGTTTTGTAGTAAATTGATGTGACGTTGGTATATTTTTTTTTTTTTGTTTGTTAAAATTGAAATAAAAATAAAAATCATATACATAAATATATGAATATTCGTGTATATGAATATTCACTGCTCTCGTGTGCTTAATCGTATGGTCGACTGGACGAGGAAGAAGAAGATCGTCGTCGTCGTCGACTAGTGTGGCTTGACTACTTTGCTGGCCGGTGGAGGAATCTTCGTGAATCCTGCCGAGTCGAATACGGGTAACAGGTCACGTATACGGTGACCACTGGTAGTCACCAGATCCATCAGACGGCTGAAAAACAATATAATTTTAAGGGACTCAAGCGATACAATAATACAAAATATATGTTATAAAATAATGTTTCGTGGCTTAGTTTTATGTATACTCGTCGAATTGTATCGAATAAAGCAGATATAACATCATCAGCACTCTGACAATATTAAAATGAAATAATTACTGTCGTTACCCCTGTAATTGTATGTAGGTACTACAAAAATTTTATCCTACTTGAATAAATGGCGTATGAATCCTTTCGAATGAGTTGTGATTACATAATATCTAATTATATAAAAAAAAAAATACCCTTAAAATCGGACTTTTTGAGAATTTCGGAAGAATAAAAATATGTGAGAATATATTACCTACGTTGTTTGGTGTGATATTGTGCCCTCAGGGAAAATTCAAAATTATTTGTTCTTTGGATTTAATATCGGTACACAACTAATATTGGATCAATTTAATATTTACATATATCAATGACGCGTATACTGTAGATGGTTCACTTGTTCACTTATTTAAAGTTAACATACAATTTATAATATTTTACTAACCATTTTATATAACTAAATACCTATAGGTAAATAAAACTAACAAACTAGCCACCTCAAATATTGTAAAAATAAACTCTCTTGATCTGAATCTTAAAATTTTAACAATGTAGGTGAACGCCAAAACTGTGAACGGCAACCAATTTGTTTGGGTTTAATCTCGTGGATTTACTTTGATGGACAACAAGTGATGGGATTCTTCAGGAACGGCAAACTGTTATATTATATTATTTATAAGAAAACTCGCACTGTTCGCATAAATAATGTTGTGTGACATCTCTCAAATAGTAATTTCAACAAAACACGTACCTATTCGTATTGCGTATAAATTATTATTATACATACAAATACATTAGTACATTACCTATTATATATATTACTACAAAACAACAACAACTGCGTTGTTATTATATTACTATGATATGCATACAGCAGGTATACGTATATATTATTTGTACACTATACAGTGCGACGCGACGATGGTAGTTATTTGTACTGGCGTTACAATGCATTACAATTAGAGAGGTCGGCATCGCGACTGTTATAATCATATAGTAATAATAAGTAGGTATATGCACGCACACATAATAATATTAATATCATGCATATACCTACAACATCCCTGTGGATTTTTAACTCGACCCTCTATCTCCGTCACCGTCTGGTGTATGCCAAACACTAAACGCGGGGTGTATATTGCATTGTACAGACTGGTCAATAAAACATGTTCACTCCAACTGTTTCCTGTATTAATAAATTAATTACAATTCTGATTTTCGAATCATACTTATAAAGATCATATTTGGACATTTTGAAATTGTTTGTACTTTAGGACCTAGCCTGTGGCGATACAAACTTCTATTTGTGGATTATTGAAAGAACATTTTTTGTGTACGTACTTATTTAAAAATTAGAAAGAGTAATCTATACGTTTTTTAAATGTCTATAAGATAATAATATATTCCTTGAAAATAGTTTTACAAAAATATAAAATATAATATTATGTAATATTGAATACAGCGCATTTATTGTACATTTATACAAATTATGAATATTATTAATTATCTAGTACAATTTTCAAATCACCATACTGTAGCCCCCATGTTTTCCAATCCTATTATCACGGGCCTTTTATCCTTAGTCCTCAACATCATTGCAAACAACTTAAAATACTACTCCATTAAATTTTGATTTTGATATGTCAACATTTTCAGAAAAATAATGTATACTAGAAAAGAAAATGTCTATTTCAAAAAGAGAAGTTTGTATATCCACAGTCCACAGGGTACTCCTTAAATAGTACAAACAAATCTCAACAATTTGAAAATAATATGGTCTTTAAGTAGGTATATTACGCTTGAAAATTCAAGAAAATCCGATTTTGAACAATTGTATTATTGAAGAAAAAGAGGGGTGAGGATGCTTAGTGAATCATCCTGTATAATATGTAATATCTATATTATTATGATTATCTTATGGTTATACGGCGATGTCTGGTCTCCCCTCAGCCAAAGTAGCTTACCAAACTAGATTACCAAAGTCGTGCATGCGGTGACGAGACCAATGTGTGTGTGTGTGCGTGTGTGTGTATGTTGCATTTGAATAAACACGCACGGTTGTTATATAATAACAATACGTACATACCAAAAGGGAAAACGCTGTGTAATATGGTACGGTTGTTCAGATATTATTTTCGTTTGAAAACTCAAAACTGACAGTAAAAATAAATTTTTTTAAAAACGACAACAACAGAGACAACAAATAGTGCACTCAATGTTGTACTTACAAACACATAGTTTCCTGTTATAAAACCATAATTATAATTCACAAAAGGTAAATTAAATTTACAATATTCAATAACAGTTTTTATCTCAAAACTTGTGTAATTATAAAAAGTTCATCGTTAAATACTATAATTCTATATTATGATAACATATTAACACAATATTATATTAAATTCTACCAATTAATTTGAGTCCTAAAAATGTCATTTATTCTGAGATTTTACTGATTTTACTGATTTAAATGTGTATTATTAATTATTGTATATTATTATGTTATGTATACATAAATATATCAATAAATAAATATATTTATTTTCAATTCAGTTCATAACCACAGGCCACAGCACGAGATACCTAAAACGATTTGAAATGTATTTATGAATTAAGAAATAATTATGGAAATTGTGTACATAAATTTTGTATCATTACTTTGTAGACCCAGTTTTAGAAAAATTTATATTTCTAACCTCCAATTGATGACTTACACAATTAACTTTAATTAATATAAAGTCAAGAGTAGAAAATAAATTTGAATTTTTAAAGTTTCGGTAAACACATTTTAGTAAAAACGATTTGATAAATTTGTGATAACTAATCTGAGGTGAGGTTAGGTTAGGTAAACTTATAATAATACCAAATGTGCATAGATTATTAAAGTGTCGAACAGTATATTATATTATCACGAAAGCAATCGCGTATACCAAAAATGACAGTGCTACAATAATAGTATATATATTTTTTATCCGTTCAACCTTTTAGCCTCTTTTAAAAAGGCTCGGAAATCTTGGGATCCAATATGGACTCGCAATAATAATAAATTGAAAATATCGTGATCATCGTTGACGTGTGGGTCTCAATAGACCATGCGAAAGCTGACGGTCGTGTATGACCCATATTACGTACGATGGTCTCAATGCTGCCCGCGGCCCTGGAATAAAATCCAATAAACTGCCTGTGCCACCAGTCAACTCGAAAACGATATTATATTGTTATTCGCATTATGTGCCAAAAATTGGAAACTATTACATGCACGCCAATTATTGTTTGACTTGGTTTATTTACTTATTCTATTGTAGATACGTTGGTTATTGGAGGGGTACTGTTTTATTTGAGCAACGTAATTCGGTGACAATTTATTCGCATTGTGTCATTGTGAATATAGTAATGTTCTCTTAACATCAGACACATCGTACAAATACGTAACGCATAGAAAAAAATTCACATTTACGGGTGAGATAAAAAGTTTTTGACGTCATCGAATCTCTCGAAATATGCGTCATAATAATATGTCATAACTAGTAAAGTCTTTAAATTGTGACTTGTGATAAAAAAAAAAATCAGATTGCTTTCCATTCGTTGAAGTAATATAATATTATGTACATACATTATGGTGTTGAAATCATTTTGAATCGTGAAGACTGTTCAACCATAATATTATATTAGATAATATCTATATCTATAAGCTGTAGATAATATTATCATTGTTAATACACTAATTATCACTGTTGTATAAGAACAATTGTATATCAAGAAACGAAAATATAGCACAATATACGATAACAGAGAATGAAACTTTAAAACATTATATGTTCTAAGTTATAAACTATTGATGTGTATACCTAAGTTGCTGATTCTTATAAGCTTGAGACATTTTGATAAAAGTATAGAACATAATATAAATTCCCAATCATAACTCACAGTGATTTGTATTTCATATGTACATTATGATACACAAACATAATCATGAGTAGTTTTAACCGATGTATGTAACATATTAGTTATTACTGTACTTACTGTTGAGTATTATAATAAGTAAGCAATAACAAAATGCCATGTAAGATGATATAGTAATACCTACCCGCACAAGTAAAAGGTTCAGATATATTTTAAGTATCCGCAATAAAATGTTGTTTTAAGAAAGTTTTAAATTTTTTTTAAAAAAAATGCTAGGCAAAAATATATTTTAAAATTTTTTTTTATTGTTATCTCTTAATGTTTTACTCTTTTGAATGAAAACATTAACCTTTAATTTTATACCGAAGCAGGATGTGATCTGGGGGATACATAAAAATTTAATCTCTGACGAGAGTACCTATAGTTAATTAGTGGCACAGGCAAGCGCCTGTGTTCTTATTACTTATTTCTTATTACCATCGTGTCAGTACGATATTATTATAAATTATTTATGATAACTGTTAAGGCGTGTGTCTTATATCGTATAGGGAGTAATAATATAGCTATACCTATTTGGCGGCAACGCTTTCTTTTTCGGAGCGACGGGGGAGGCGGCCTCCACCGGGAAGAATGTGGCCCCGTAAAAGTCCAAACCGTTGTGCAGCAGCACGTTGCACTCCTCGACGGACGCCAGCGTGACGCGCACCACGGGCGGCGCAGGGTGGTGTTGTTGCGTGTTCGCAGATGCGGACCCGCCCGCCGCCGCCGCCGCAGCCAGCGACGACGCCGGTCCGGCCTGCAGGAGCTGTTGCTGTTGCTGTTCAACAGCTGTCTGCGACGTAGCCGCGTTCTTGCCGTCCGCCACGGTCAAGGCCGCGTGGCGGTACCCTAGAAAGAAAAATAAATACAACGTATGTGGTTAGAAGAACCGCACCCACGATAGTCATGGGGGGGGGGGGTGATGGTCTGCTGCAGGTGTGTGTGCAAGTTGCGGTGGGAAAAGGGCGAAGGGGGTTCGGTGACACAGTACGTGATATCATGATAGGGGTGAGAGGCAAGTATAAAATTTTAAGAATTTTTCCAAGAATATAATTTCCACGGCACATGGCTATAATACCACATATACACTACCTAGTTTTTGTACAAACTAATGTGAGTGTCCACTGTTAAACAATTCAATAACCGGGGCTTATTCCTATTGCATATAATACGATAATATGTAATTATAGAAGAGCGTAATTATTGAAAAAAATAATTGTTACATTTATGATTGGGTATTTTTTTTTGTTTTGTTGCGATGTATAACAAATAAGTTGTATTCTTTGATCATAAATGTAAAACAATTTACAAACGTTATAATTATTGTCGAGTATTAATTTTATATAATTGTTAGATAAAATATTTTTTTCCAACATTCATTCGTTTTAGTTTTGGAGAAAAATGTTTTACAGAAACAAGTATTATTTTGTATTTGTGTGAAATGTACTTTTTTATTCTGAAAAAATTCCATTATAACGTATCTTAAGTGGACTACCGTGTATTTTGTCACTAAATAAAAATTAATTCTTTGAATATACACAAAAACACCATTTGCCGACGGGAGAAATAAATAGAATAAAAAAAACATTCAAGTTATATGAAATCGATTACAAATTTCGATTTAACGATAACTATATAAACATTTAAGCACAGGTTTTTTTTTAACAAAGAACAACTGTTATAACCAAAAACCAAATTAATATTATTTAGTAGAATGGCAATCAAATATTACAAAAATATAACAATACAACTTAGGGGTAATTTGGAATGTGATAGAAATTACATACTCTAAAATTACTAAAAAATAGTGATATTAATATAGTACAAAAATATAGTAATAATATAGTAGGTAGGTATATACTTAATATTATGTGTAGATACACATCATCATCAATATGAAATGTACGTGTTTTTTAAATTAGTCGATAAATCATAATGCATTTAATCATAGATTTAATACCCTATAATATAAAATATATTTATGAAATTTATATAAAATTACTAAATTCATATTAATGAAATTTTAAGTGTAATTACTAATTAGACACAATGATAATAGTGATCTTAGTATTTTAAATTAAAAATGGTTTTCTCGTCAGTAGAATTAATAACAAAAGAATAATAATTTACATTTTTGTTCAATATCATTTCCCCAACAGCTGACGACTATAATTTATTATAATCATAAAGCAGTATGTATGTAACAATTAATTTCGCAGGATGGTTAGATCTTACTATCTTAGATATTACTATATTATAAAGTTGTAATGTCTTATAATATAAAAAAAGACGACATGACGAAGATTCGCTATAAAAAAGTTCCAATAACTACCTTAATTTATAAAAAGTTATATTATTTTATCGTTTTTTCATTTTTTATAATGGTATTTGAAACGTTTGCAAAAGGTGAATTTGCAAGAAGCGAATAATAATGAGAGACATTGTAATGCATATTTTTGAATGCAATTATTTTAAGAAAATTTTTATAAATGTAGATTCAATTATTTCAACGGAAAAAAAAAATTTCGCATCTTTTATCTTATTAATAAACGAATTACACTTAAGTTTGAACACTAGGTAACTTAAAGAATAAAAAAAAGTATAGTTTGTTTTTTAATAGTCGTAGGTATTGATGTATGTACTCGTATTTTAGCACGTATCAATATGTAAATCACAAAATAAGACAAAATAAAATAGGAAAAAAATTGGAATAGTACTGCCTGTAAAAGTAGTTGAAAGAGTAAAATAAAAAATGTAAAAGTATTCCCTTAGACTCAGACCATCGAGTTTCCAAGAAAATTAGGCGTCTAGGCGGAATCGAATTTTAGTGGGCCGTTGGCGATGGGTTCAATAATTGAATATCGTTACAATTTACATGTCAAATAGTTTAACGATATCGTACATAATGTTATATTGTATGTATTATTTTTAACATTATTTTATGATGTGTATTATACTGAGATGACGTGTGGGGGCATCGGCCGGCGGTGTTTTTGGCGCCTGGCGACAGTCGCGAAAACCGTATGCCGTCGTCTAGTCGGTCGTGTAATTAGAACGACGACGCGGCGAGGGCTCTCTGCGACGATGACGGCGGCGGCAGTGGTGAAAGGTTACTATATATTGTATACGCGTGGTGAGACAGCCAGCGGGAGACGCGACGCGTCGCAAGTGGAAAACCGTCGCCGGGCGGCGGGTCAGCGGGTGGTGGAGGGTGGTCAATAGGGATAGGGTGGGTGGCGGAACGGAAAACTCTATCATTGCCACCCGCCGTCCGTTTCGGCCGTCGCCGCCGCCTCTGCGACGCCCACCGGATTTTTAGAATTCAATTATCTAGGCGCTAAATACATGTATAAAATATATACTTCACACACCCACACACAGCACAGACATGAGTGTTGTACTGTGTTTCTATATGTTCTATATAATTATTATTACGACCTCCTGCAACGCGATCGGCGCACTACGTGATGAGAAGTTCACCCCCCCCCCCCCCATAAATAGAACCACCATCAGACAGCGATGCCTAGTTAGTCATCCGAAGTGATAGCTACGAATGTTCGTAAAATAAAATCGCCCCGAACGCTGCGATGGTGCTCGAAATTATTAGACGAGTTTTGCACGGCTTGCAAGTGGTATAATATATCGATATCATCATAATTCAGATAATATTACTATATTATATTGGGACATTAGTTAACATGTCGTATTATACCACAATGGTAACACACGATTATGATTGTGGTGATCTCAACATTCAATATTGTCAAGTGATACCGGAACTACAATCAAATTAAGAATTAAAAAGTAACGATTATTAACCACACGACACACTTAACCCTTCAGCCTTCGGTAACGTACATTCTCTCCGAGAAAGTCATAATTTTCCAAGAGTATTAGATACCCATGGGCAGTGGCGGGTTGAAGGGCTCAATTTTCACACATCTGCGTTAACTTTTCAAAGGAGGTGGTGCCACCCCGTGACTGTGGTGCAGAATTACAAGGCCCGACCTCTTGACTCTTTCGCCCATATTTTATTTACATCATGACTTTGTTATAAGTAAAAAATGCAGGGTGGTGGTAAGTCCTCAATTATAAAAATGCGTCATTTTAAATTTCAATTCTGTCCGCCACTGCCCATGAGATTGTCCCATACAATATGTATGATATAATATTAAAAATACCTATCGTCGTTTTTCACAAACACTCGGAAAAATACAATTACGACGGTATTTCAGATCCACGTTTGGTTTCCGAGTGATTTATTTATTTATCGGCGGTCACGATCGTTGAATTATCAACATCATAAAATTTTTTATTTATTTTATTTTATTGGATTCTATAAACATTGCACTATACTAATATCAAAGAACTAGAAAAAGTCCACGTGGACACTTCTACAATTCCAATTTCCGACGACCATGTTTATTCGCGTATTGACAATGGTTGGAAAATAAAAAAAATTTAATACCATATCGTTCAATACAGTTTCCTAATGTAATATAGCTGCAAAATACTTGTTGCAGAACTTTTGAAATTATAGTGACTATAGATGACTTAGAGTCCCTACTATATAATTTACCATTCTAGGTATCTACACGCACGCTTAAAAAAGGCGCAACTAGACCTCTAAAACGCGGAATGCTATTATTAACAATTTAAATTAATTTAAACTATAAATACAATAAAATTGGTTATATTTTACAAATATAATAATAGTTTGACCTAAAAAAACAAATGGTTTTGAATTTGATCACAGGGGTGCTAAATACCCCTTTGCACCCCCGTAGTTGAGCCAATGAGGTGTATAATAATCATAATATGAACCATGTCACTTTAACTTGAAATTTCAGGGAAATCTACGAAAAGAAAATTCACCAACGTATGTGTCTTCAAATCATAGGTGAAAATAGAGATGAGTTTTTTTTGGGGGGGAGGGGAATGGCATCACTACTTTAATAATATTGAATAAGGTTAAAAAAAATGTAGGAAATGTTTAGGGGCACTTTTACCTCCTAAATGCTAAAGCCATTCCACATTTTCGTCTATGGTTCATAAAATGTATATTTTATACGAATTAACCAAATTATTGGAGTGGTGTATAATAGTCATTTGTACACGAATGGACGTATTATATTGTGCTTTAAAATTGCAAGACGGAAGTAAGCTACAAGCGAAACGGATAATGAAATCGTTCTACCCTTCCATTATTCTTCTATGTATTATTATTCTACCCGAAAAATATATCGATTTATTTGATGATAGTATATTATAGCGATGCTCTCGATAATAAACTGCATGCTGTGCATATTATAATGTATGGTGTGTATACGATATAACGTCGTAATGGAGCAGTACGTGTATAAATCATTTTAATAAGACGGTAGATTAGTTTTTTTCTACCTAATTGAAACACTACTTCATCAGAAATTTGATACAACGATTGCACTGAAAATCGAGCTCACCAATATTACACGTGCGTCCTATAGTAAAATATAATCATATACAATATTATTATATAATTATACATATAAATACCTAATTATTATTTAATATTTATTACGTACCGTAAAAAAACAAAAACGAGACATTTTAAATATTTCCAAAATACAGAAATAAAATGTTTAAATAATATTTTGTGAAAAAAATTAATTTCAAGAGGCCAAAACAAAACGAGAAAAATTATTTCGAAACGAAACAAATGAGGAAAACCGAATACTTTTATTTATATTTTTTGTTGGCAATTATTCAATATTTTCTCCCTATATTAGTGATACCAGAAATAATTGTAATATATATAAGGTACACGATTCTATGATTTTTGTCATTAGGCAAATTGTTAAGAAAATAGG